CAAGCTGTAAGCTAAAATTTTGGATCTAAATTTTTTCGAGCAGATTTCGAGCCAACTTCAGCTCGACTCAAAATTAGATCATTAACGATCCTAGTGATGTTAAAGATATGAATTTAATGAATTTATATAGAAGATCATTAAATTGCTCAGAAATTGATTTGAATCGGATTAAAATAAATGAGTCGGGCTACGAGTCAAAATTTTGAATCGACCGAGCTCAATTTACAATAGAATGATTAACAGCCCTAATCATACCTACATGAAGAAGCTACATTTGGCTTTGTAAACATTAAAATAATGATATTATGTATGCAATACGAAAGATTTCAGTGGTTTAAATGTAAAAAGTAAAGTCCGCTTTATTTAAAAACACGATATGATAACCCTAACAGCCGACTGCGCAATACGAAAGATTTCAGTGGTTTAAATGTAAAAAAAGCAAAGTCCGCTTTATTTAAAAACACAATATCATAACCCTAACAGCCGACTGCAAAACAACTGAAGCTTTGCGTTCTTCAACAATGGCGGATTCAGAGAACGCTGAGAGGCGCGAGGAGAATACAGATTACACCATGGATGGAACAGTAGATATAAAAGGCAGACCTTTTCTCAGATCAAAAGGAGGAAGATGGTCTGCTTGTTCCTTTATTGTTGGTACTTACATTCTTACCCTCTGTTTTTCTTTTTAAATTCTATTAAAAAATGCTTTTTTGCTTGATCTATTCATTCCTGTAATTAAATCCTCACCTGTTCTCTTTGTGTTACATTGTGTATGCATGAAAATGTGTATTTCACTTTGTAAAGTTAAAATCATAGTATTTTCATTATGATATAGAAGAATGGGGAGGTATAAATGTATAAAGTTAAATTTTAGTTGATAGATATGTAAATATGTAGGGATTGGGTGATATATATGTGTATGCTCATGTTTGACTTTGCAGTATTTGAAGCATTTGAGAGACTGGCATATTTTGGTGTGGCGCCGAATCTAGTCGTATATCTCACAAATAAGCTTCATCAAGGCACCATTAAATCTTCAAACAATGTCACAAACTGGTTTGGAACCATAATGTTGACACCAATTTTTGGCGCATATATTGCTGATTCTCATCTCGGTCGATACTGGACTTTTGTAATATCTTCTGCAATCTACTTAATGGTAATATTTTTCATAATTTTGCCACATCTAAAAGTTGTTATTAGTTTTTACAATCTTCTCATTTATAAATTACAAACAAGCAATTCTTTTTTATCAGGGAATGATACTTCTTACTCTTGCTGTATCGCTCCCATCGCTACGACCTCCAGCTTGTAATTCGTCGAACAAAGAAGGGTGTGAAGCCCAGGCGAGTGCAGTCCAAGTATCCATATTCTTCTTAGCATTATATATAATAGCATTGGGAGCTGGTGGAACCAAACCCAACATATCAACATTTGGAGCTGATCAATTTGATGTTTATGACGAAGAGGAAAGAGCCCTAAAACTTTCATTCTTCAATTGGTGGACTTTCGCTCTCTTCTTTGGAAACCTCCTCTCAAGCACTGTCCTCATCTATATCCAAGATAACGTTAGCTTTTCAGTTGGCTACATCATACCCACAATTGCATTAGCCTTTTCAATACTAGTATTCTTTGTTGGCACACCATTTTATAGGCATAAGTTGCCTTCCGGTAGTCCAATCATAAGAATAGCTCGTGTTTTGGTGGCCTCTATTCGAAAATGGAAGATTCCTTATCCAATAGATTCAAAAGAATTATATGAGCTCGACTCCGAGCACTCCTCAAAGAAGGCATATTACAAAATCAATCGCTCAAACTCACTAAGGTTAATATTGATCAAGCTTGTCTTATTTATTAAACAAGGAGTTAGAATGTAAGAAGTATAAAAAATAATCCTCTACTACTTATATGAGGTCATTTTAGTCTCATATTCGATAAGAATATCAAATTAGTCCCCATAGCCTTTTAATATAGATTAAAATAATCTATTTTAGCCCTTATTAAAAGAG